AGAAGACGTGCTTAAGCGGAATTCCTGGGAAGACACCGGGGCTGCTGAGGGCAGACTGTCGCTGTCAGCGGACTGGGTCACACACGGAAACTTTTCTTTAACCTTGAAGCAAGCTCAGAAAGACGATCAGGGCGATTACTTCTGCTACATCCAAGATGAAGTCGTGATTGCCGTGAGGCTGACGGTCACCAGCCAGAGGAGTCCGGATCAGAGCAACAGCACCCGTCCTCCTTTTGTGCCTGTGAGTATTCAGGGATGTCACATGTGTCACAGGAAGGACGCACAGGAAGGCAGCGTACAGACGGTAGCTGAGGTTGCACTTGACTCGAACGGTTGCACTTACTGAAGTGCGTTACCTCAGACTATGACACACTGGTTTGCCACTTTCATCTGTTTTTATGCAACATATCCTGGTAATTAATAGAATGTAATAGAAAGTATAGATATTTGTGTGAAAATGTAATAAAAGTAAGAAGTTATCAGAATGAAATTCTCGTCTAAATCTGAGTGCATTTCTGTTGTTTTATCTCTGCAGCCGACACCGAGAGCCTGTGAAGAAAGTAGATTTCTGCCTGCGGTGATCATTATCATTACAGCCTTGGTGTGTTTGCCTGTCGGCCTTTTGATTGGCCGGTTAATGACATCATGCTGCCCCAGAGGTGCCTCATACGGGCACTGCGGTCGACCAAATGAAGCCTAGATGGACCATGAGAACCTCTCCTCTTCCTCCTCTTCAGCACATCTGCCAGAAGCTGCCTCTCCTGCACAATGCCAGCTTTTATGAATGCGCTTTAGTGTTTAGTGTGCACTTTAATAATGCCAACGGTAGTCACAAATGATAACAATGACCATTCACATATGATTTTAGATTTGATTTGTTTTATTCTTAAAATCTATGCCTATATTTGTATATATATTTTCTAAATAAATAAAAATCTCATTGAGATTCAAATCTCAGTTTCAACAGAGACCATCTGTACTATCATGGGCTTCAGTTTATGTTAAAGGCTCATCTTTCCAAACAGAAGCTGAGAGAGAGAGCGAGAGAGACCTTTATTTGTCACATGCATATGCAGTGAAATTGGACCCCTTCCAACCATACATTCATTTTAGAGACATCACATTAGAGGGGACAGGTCGGAGAGAGGTAGGAACTGGAAACAATGAAATATGCAATCCACGAGGGAAGACGAGGAGAGAGAAAAAAGCTCCAGCCAGACTGAGCTTCTAGAGGAGAACAGTTTGAGAACAAAAGAAGGAGCAAAGGCAATTCACTTCTTTATATTTCACTACAAAAATCTTTGGTCTAAGGATGTCCGCCAAAAAACACTGGCAACTGTTTGCTCATAAATGTGTTGCTCATATTTTCACTGTTCAATGTGGGGAACACTTTTTGCCACGCCCATGCTTGTTCTGACTCAGTGTTTCAGAAAAAGCGGCAATTTCACCTCACCATTAAACAAATGTTAGTTTCAGTGAGATTCTGCTGATTCAAAACACTACAGGTCACGTTGGACAGAAAAGTAAAAACAAAAACAACACACACACACAATTACAAGCATTTTGAGACAGGACTTGAAAGTGGAGTTGTGGTTATGGCTGTCTGGTGGGAAGGAGTGGTGGAGGCGAGGAGCGGGGCACCTGAAGACTCTACGCATAAAAACAGCATAAATACATGTCTCTGAAGTACACTGAGGCTAGAGGGTAACAAAGCCGGCCGTGTCATGTGCAACAACGCATTCACACAACTGTGATAATAACAACAACAACAACAATAATAACAATAATAATAATAATAGTGTGACTTATGCAAGCCAGATCCTTTTATTTAGCAAAATTGTAATTAATAGCTACTGAAATGTTATTGTTGAGGGGCACAGGCGGGATGCCACACGCACACACATAAAGAAAGAGGGAAAAAACTTCAATAAACGGTACTTGCCTGCTACACCGGCCTCTCCTCTCCACGCCTGCCCTTAAGTGGGGGAAACGTGTGTAACCGGTTTCTGCTTCATCCCGCTGGAACAGTTCGGCCCAGGGGCGATTTTAGCCCAGTAATTAAGGTTAGAATATTTTTTCTATTCCAATCCATTCTTCGTTTGCAGCATTTAAATAACCTTGATCAGATTTGATGGTTTTGTTACAGACTTTTCAAAAAAAAAAAAGTGTTTTGCTTTTCTTTAACAAATGTGGGGGTTAAATTGTGTTAAAATGTACAAAACAGTGATGTCATGTTTTGAGACGAGGACCCAGACACAGAGAGACTTGATGAATTTAATAATCTTATGATTTAATAAAGAAATTTGCAGACTTACACAGAGATGGTAAAATGATGATGACTGATAACGGATACGAAGATAACAGACGATGAGGACAGGGAGGAACAGGGGTTTAAATGCACCAAGGAGACAGAGAGAACTCGGGACAACATTTAAGGATGCAGGGACTGACAGAGACAGGTTTATCTCTCCTGGCTGCTCAGCACCCCCAAAGCTCTGATTCTAGAATCGCCGCTGGTTCGGCCCAAACAGACTCCTCGACTCTGCGATGTGTTGTGTTTTTAAGAAGACAAGGAGTCTCTGATCGTTCGTTGCCACTTTATTTCCTGAATGGAAACAACGGTGTTTTATCAGTGCACAGGCTCGCCACACACCACTCCGCACAGCACACTACGGCAGAACATCTCATTAGCATACAGTTTTACACAATAATAAACAAATGAAAAGTACATAAAACTGGTGTTGGACATGTGTCCACTAAGCACTTATTACACTCGGTGCCCATCAGCTTATCAAACATGTTTTATGTGTCTGTACTACTTAGCTATATCGTGTGCGGAAAAATACAGCTCATCTCTGGTATGGCTACGGCAGACACGTGCAGCCAGCCTCACCGAGAGGGGCGGGGGGGGGGCGTGGTTTCCCCATTACACTGACATTTGTGGCAAGTGGAATAATACCAGATAAACACTGTTAATGTGCTAACGGTGGTGCCGGTGGGGGCGGACTCTTGAAGCACTTAACTTTCTGACCGGTGTTCAGTGTGACACAGATATGTTAGCCTTGCTGCTCGTCCTCGCTGCTTTTACCCGTTTGTCTGCAGATGTCCAGCCTGTTTTAGGAAACTCCTTCACGTTTCCACAAAACTGCACGAACGACGAAGAAGGAAAACTGCTCCGGGCTGAGCCCCATGGGGAGGTGGACGTGGCCGTCCGTCCACCAGCGCGGTGTGTGGACACCCGCCCGGGGCTACCGAGGCCGGATCTTTCGAAACTCGTCCATTTTGTTCAGGCGCATATTTTACAATGACAGTGGCTTTTATTTATTAAGATGCGACAGCCGGGAGATGCGCATCCAGGTTACAGTTCTGGTTCCCTTCAATGTCACCGTGAAAGAGGGAGAAAAAGCGTCGCTGCCGTGTTACTTTTCAACTGCCGACAACAAGTGTGTCTCTGCACGGTGGGAGATGAATCAGCAAGTTGTGTTTGAGTGGAATTCCTGCAAAGACGAAGATAACGGGACTGCTGATGGAAGACTCTCTGGAGACTTTTCCTTAAATCTGCCACATGCGAGGAAGGAACATCGTGGGTATTATTTCTGCTATAAACAAAATGAAGACTGAGAGAAAGAGAGGGATCCATCTGTCGTGAGGCTGAAAGTCAAGATGAGATGCCCTGATAACACCCAGAAGTGGTAAGTAGCCTATCCGGGTTTTTTTTTTCCATAGCCGTGTTCGACATTAGATCAGTATGACGGAGTATTAGGGCCACATAAAAAATGTCTCTTTCGCGAATGAACGCAAAATTCTTTGGGGGAAAAAGATGAAATAGCGATTACGCTCGCACTTTCAAGCCAAACCACTTACACGGCTCCTCTACAAACACTTGATCAGCCATCTTCTCGTGTCTTGTGGCACAGCACACGCAGTGTCGGAATCCTTGCATCAGATGCAAAATTTTGAAGGAGAGATCAAGGAGCTGAACGACAAATCACTCCCCAATTTCGACTTTATTCTCCGAATCATCAATTAGGTATAGTTTTCAATATGGCCCTGATACCCCCTGGCGTCCCGCATATGTCTGAGCAAAGATCATTTTATTATTTACACGTGGTTCTAATACGCACAAACGCGAAGTTTTAACCCTTTAAACCCTGACCTAATTTAGCCTTTTAACCAGGGGTAGGCAACTCCAGGCCTCAAGGGCCGGTGTCCTGTAGGTTTTAGTTGTGTCCTTGATCCATCACAGCTGATTTAAATGGCTAAATGACCTCCTCAACATGTCTTGAAGTTCTCCAGAGGCTGGTAATGAACCAATCATTTGATTCAGGTGTGTTGACCCAGGGTGAGATCTAGAATCTGCAGGACACCGGCCCTCGAGTTACCTACCCTTGCTAAAAATGCTAAACGTATCCGGTGACGTGTTTAATTAAAGTGTTAAGCACGATCGTGATTCGTCACAAAAATCGGAAAATCGAGCTTGATACTAAAAAAAAAAAAAAAAATGTTTCGTCCTGGGAAATTAAACGAAATATTTTTAAATACTCTCAGGAATAATAGGCTCTGGTGTGTAAAGGCCTTTAGACTGCAGAGGCAAAGAAAAAGATGAACAGGAGGCCAATTAACTGTGAGCCCACAATACCCTAGATCAGCGCTCCCCAACCCCCGGTCCTCGGACCGGTACCGGTCCGTGAGTCGTTTGGTACCGGGCCGCGAGAGTTGAGACTCGGGTGAGAAATGTATGGTTTTCAGGGTTTTTATCGGTTTTCAGCGTTATTTTGTTATAGTTTCATTATTTCATCATTAACTCAGTTTTCCTGGGTCTTTTCACGTGTGTTATGAATAAATCTTCTTTTTTTCGGTACCTACTAGTTTTAGTTTGTTGTATTTATCCGCGACACCTTAAAGGCAGGTCCGTGAAAATATTGTCGGGCATAAACCGGTCCGTGGCGCAAAAAAGGTTGGAGACCGCTGCCCTAGATACGTCTCCATTTCATGTGCTGGTTATCATCATAATCGTAATGGCTGCTAAACTGTGACTTACACTGAGCTCGTACTACAGTAACTTTTCCTCAGTGTGATTGTTTATGGACTAGTGTAACTTCTAGATGAAGCACATCAGTATATTTTGGATGAGAGGGCAGAGTGACTTTGACCGAGGCCTCATGACTTCATAGGTGTCGCACGAACACGAGAAGAGCAGCGTGAAATTCCGGGTGTGCTTTGGTGTCATATACGGACAGAAAACCGAAAGGAGCGCGTATAAAGGCGTGGACCCGCTCATGGTATTCAGATGATTATCTCGATTTATTTTGAAGGTGGTCAGAGGGCCCGGTGGCGCCAGTGTTCTGTCAGTGCGCCCCAGGGCGGCTGTGGCTACAATGTAGCTTGCCATCACCAGTGTGTGAATGTGTGAGAATGGGTGGATGACTGAGTGTGTAAAGCGCTTTGGGGTCCTTAGGGACTAGTAAAGCGCTATACAAATGCAGGCAATTTACCATTTACCATTCACTTTTCTCTGCAGCCGACAAAGAAAACGGGACAAACGACAAGAAACCTGAGTAGCTGTCAGCAGAGGAGGAACTTTGGTGCCAGCCTGGAGAAGTTCACTTTCCAGTCAGTCCTGTGGAGGACATTTGGATTCTCGGCCTTATGTGCTGGATCAGGGGCGATTAGGATCAGAGCTTTGGGGGTGCTGAGCACCAGGAGAGCTGCCCAGCCAGACAAGACAAACTTCACTTGTCACAATGAGACTTCTTCCCCATCTCTGTCAGTCCCTGCATCCTTAAATGTCTCCAGTTGTCCTAAGTTCTCTAGAACTGTCACTTTGATGCATTTAAACCCCTGTTCCTCTCTGTTATCAGTCATCAGTGGCGTGCACAGACATTTTGGGGGGCAAGTGCTCCAGGGGGGAAAAAGGGCACTTTTTGCATATGTGGAAAACCTTTTCTTTTTATAATAAAAAAATCGCACAGGTTAAATGCAATTTGACTTTTATTTTCTCCTTTCTCAGCCTCTCTTTCCTAGGCATTATGCTTGCTGAAATTA